TCCGTAATCATAGTGGTTCTGGCAATGGGCATTGCTTTTGGATAAGAAGCTCGTGCAAATAGCTTCCAATCCTTTTCATTATACCAATTTGTCCACAAATATCCCCACAAGTTAGCAAGATTTTTTTCACGACAGAATTGGTAGATTTCTAAAACACTTTGATAATGAATTTCTTTTACTGTGAGGAAGATATTTTTTCCTACAGGGATAAGTGGATGTAGAATTGCTTTTTAACAATGTCTAGCAATTCTTTTATGAATTCTTCAGAACATAAAGCAGTCTGCTGTCCTCCAGGTATCCATATCGGATCAATGAAATCAAATTGATGACATGCTTCATTTGCCTTTTGTGCTGAATACTGACTTCCTCGAACTTTTTTTCTTTTAGTTTGCATTCAATTGCGTGCTCCACATGCCAAAGGCAAAGTTGTATGATTGCTGTCCAAGACCAAGCCTCTTGAACAGCAGCAATTTCTCCTGAATCCTTGTCCAAAAGCACAAACGTTGGTTGAATATCTTCATTTTGTAAGCCAACAAAGAATTCCTTGAGCACACCAACTCGTGTATTCACACGATTACTGGGATATGAGAGATATTCTTCTGATGCCGTATAGGTATCCAAATATAAATATACAAGAGGGACACCGTATCCACCACAATTAGCATTTATTGCAAAGAGTTCGAACCGTTTTTGATTTGTTTTAAAAGTCGAATCGATAATAATCTCACTTATATTATCTTTTTGTAGATTCCGAATGAATGGAGTAATGAATTCAAGCGAGCGCACAAAGTCATTCTCACAGTACTAAACAACTTTGTATCCTTCGTCTGCCAACTCTCTTTGTTTCAGGAAATTCTTCGCAGATTTTACTTGGTTGACTACGTCAGTTATATATAGCTTCGTTGAAAGTCAGTATATCCAATAATACACTTGTTGGTAAGTATGTAATGATGAATTTATTAATTTTTCGTCGCAAAGTCATTTGTAGAACTCAACTTTTCGTGAACTGTGATTAATGTGCTGTTGTATTCATGATATAGCACTTGCGGGCAATTTGGTTGCTCTATATGTGGGATGTTCGTGAGCTATAAGGTGCTGTAAAGATATCATGGCTTGCTGCTCACGTAGATTAACTTTAATCACTATATTACCATTGCATGGATAACGCTCGATGACAGGTCGCACTTCACTTATCCGCTTTGCAGGTTGGTCATTTATACGTTTGTGTTGATGATCGATTCTTTGAGCACAACCTAGATAAGCTGTTGTACATTCTATATGCTGACCATTTTTCTTATTCATATGCAGGTTTCGAAGTTCCCAATAATAACCCGATCCGGCTTGAAGAGGTATGAGCAAAGCATTTATAATGTTGCGGAATTTTATAGCTTCATCATTTTGATTAACTTCAGATGACAATATTTCCTCATAAAATAGTTCTTTTTCAAGTTCTACCATCACCGAGAATTCAACGTAATTATCCTTTTCCTCACTATTCCTGAAATTGATAGATACAAGCTCTTCAAGATCGCATACATTATAAAGAAGACTGTCTTCGTTATCTTTACTCATAATTTTGGACGTGTCATCATCGGAGGCTAAAGATTGAATATTTTTGGTATTGGCTGATCTGATTTTGTGCTGTTTCTTTTTCCTATCTTTTTCAGCACATGAGTTGCACACAGAAAATGTTGCCATTTTATTTTCGCACTGCTGAGTAAATTCAGAACTTAACTTGATCTTATTACAGCAAGAGCATCACTTGCTTTCTTCAACATTATGGATATCTATAGAAGTTCAATGTAAAGGTGAGAATTCAATACTATATACAAATATAACGAAGTTAAAGATGAACAAAACGCGCATTCTTGGGATTTGTACCTATTAATGTGCATTAATCCATTTTTACTTGTCTAAATAAGTTTTAACTAACCATCGACTGTATTGTTCAGAGCAGACATTTTTTTTCTTTGTGAGAGGATTTGATTTCTGGATGTCGTTTAGTGTTTTTTAGTAGTTATCTTATTAACTAGTATTTTTTTTAATTAGGAGAAAGACGTGTTGCAACGCGTCTATACGTATTTAAGTTAATAATGCCATAATGCAGGCCAAGTTCACAATAAAGTTAGGTGATGCTATTTTGCATCAAATGTTTTAGTATTGCAGATTAAGCGTAATTAGAGGTAATGTTGCTTGCTAATTCATGATTATTTAGTTAGTCTGTTTGGGCTTTTTCTTGGTGAGCTTGAAACTTAGCCACCTGATCTGATTGATTAGTTGGATTAGCTGATTTGCTTCTCCTTCGGGATTGGTTTGGAATTGCTTGGCTGCTTTGGTTGGCTTGAGATTGTTAAGGTTGGGTTTTCAGGGCAGGTTTTTCGTGTATTCAGAGTTTATTATTACAAATGTCTTCCAACAAAATCGATATTAACTAATGGTGCTTTTTCTAGCTAAAGTCTTCAACTCAGCTTTTAATCAATTAATCGCTAT